GCTGGTGGGGATGGGGAAGTGGGGTGGGGGTTTGGAGGTGAGGGCTGGTGGGGATGGGGAAGGGGTCGGGGGCTTGGAGGTGAGGGCTGGTGGGGATGGGGAAGTGGGGTGGGGAGTTTGGAGGTGAGGTCTGGTGGGAGCAGGAGCAGGTCAAGTTTCGGATAAGACTAAGGATGGAGTTTTGTGGACAGTGGGGTGGGAGGATGAGGTTAGATGGGGACAGTGCTGTGTAGGGAATGGGAAGGAGCTAAGGATGGTTTGGATTTGGGGTTAGGAACGTTTATCTGTTGAATGGTTTGGGATGGAGGTGGAATTAGCATTGGCTTTAGAATTGGAGGTGGGTGAAAATTGGGCTGGGGTGTAAATGAAGATGGAGTGGAGATAGGGTTGGGACTAGGAAGAGATACAGAATTAAGGACGGGGATTGGAGTTTTGGGTGGTGTTGGGGATGCCTGAATTTGGGCTGAGAATGCATATGGTGATGGCCTCTGGGTAGGGAAAGGATTAGGGTTGGGAACGGGATGGGTTTGGAATTGGGATTGGGAAGGGGACAGGCATGGGATTGGAGACCAAGATGGAGTTGAGGATGGTTTGGGGGCTGGGGGTGAGCGTGGGGGTGGGGGTGAGGCTGGGGCTGGGTGTGGGGTTCGATTGGCGTTGGACATGGCTCAGGGTTGGTATGACCTGCCCCCTCTTCCTCAGAGTTTTCAGAGTCCGTCTCGGCCACCAATCACTGTCACCAGTCTATGAATCTGGGCAGCAGATGTTCCAGGGGATCAAATCCATCCCCCACCCTGGCTACGCCCACCCTGGCCACTCCAACGACCTCATGCTCATCAAACTGAACAGAAGAATTCGCTTCACTAAAGATGTCAAGCCCATCAACGTCTCCTCCCATTGTCCATCTGCTGGGACAAAGTGTTTGGTATCTGGCTGGGGGACAACCAACAGCCCCCAAGGTGAGTGTCCACCTTTTAGACGGAGTCTTGCTCTCTCACCCAGGCTGGAGTCCGTGGCTCACTGCAACCTCTGCCTCCCGGGTTCAAGCGATTCTCCTGCCTCAGCCTCCTGAGTAGCTGGGATTACAGGCTCCTGCCATCGTGCCTGGCTAATTTTTGTATTTTTAGTAGAGATGGGGTTTCACTATCTTGGTCAGGCTGGTCTTGAACTCCTGACCTCGTGATCCCACCACCTCAACCTCCCAAAGTGCTGGGATTACAGGCGTGAGCGCCCACGCCTGGCCCCAGGTTTCTTCTTGATACCTACCTGTCTCTGCCGCTGTCCATCTTTCTCCGCCTCTCATTGTGTTCCTGTTTGACAGTGCACTTCCCCAAGACCCTCCAGTGCCTGAATATCACGGTGCTAAGTCAGAAAAGGTGCGAGGATGCCTACCCGAGACAGATAGATGACACCATGTTCTGTGCCGGTGACGAGGCAGGTAGAGACTCCTGCCAGGTGAGGACACTTCTCTCCTTATTCAGAAGATACACACTGAGTGCCAACTCGATAACATGGGACTTTGTCAAGTTCTGGGAATCCAGCAATCACCAAGACAGTTAGGACCCCTGTTCTCACAGGGCATGAGTGATGTTTAGTAGAAAGAATGCTGAGCTGCTTATGTCGTTTCCAATTTTCTAGCAGCCACATTAAAACAAGCAAAAAAGGCCAGGTGGTAGCTCATGGCTGTAATCCCAGCACTTTGGGAGGCCGAGGTGGGTGGATCATGAGGTCAGGAGTTCAAGACCAGTCTGGCCAACATGATGAAACTAAAAATACAAAAGTTAACTGGGTGTGGTGGCAGGCACCTGTAATCCCAGCTATTCAGGAGGCTGAGGCAGGAGAATAGCTTGAACCCGGGAGGCAGAGGTTGTGGTGAGCCGAGATCACGCCACTGCACTCCAGCCTGGGCAACAAGAGTGAAACTCTGTCTCAAAAAAAAAAAAAAAAAAAAAAGCAAAGCTCCCCACAAAATTGTACAGACCTGACAATTGCAACAACTTCCCAGGTCTCCCAGTTTCTTCTCTGTGCCCTGGGTGTCGGGGTGGGTGGAGAGGGGGAACATTTTTAGCAGAAGAAGGCACAGCTCATTCGAATTGTGGCATTTAAAATTAGCCCTTCTGTTGGCAACATTAGTATCTTGTTTTTCCAGATGTCAAGGTGTTTTGTTTTGTTTTTTCAGACCAGTGTATGGTCTGGGTGTGACCACTGAAAGCTACAAGCAGGAAATAATAATAACTACAACAATACTAATACTAAAGGTGTAAAAGTGAAAGCGGCTCACTAATTGCTGGACAGTTTTAAGTAGTTCGCATGCCTCAGCTCACTCACTCATTCAGCTGTTCTTATTAGTCCTGTTTACAGACAAGGAGTCAAGCTCAGAGCAGTTAGCTAACAAAAGAAACTCGGCAGAGATATTAAATTACAAAGTAATGAGAGAAATTAAACTACAAGAAAGTTGCAATTTAGAGGTCGACGCAACTAAGCTTGTTTGCCTTGAAACAATGTCTGCTGCTGGGGAAAAGGTAAATCTTGGCTCTCCTAATAACTGATGCCAGGACTCTGTAATTATTCATATTTTGCATAAATAAGAAGTGAGGCCAGGTGCAATGGCACATACCTGTAATCCCAGCACTTTCGGAGACTGAAGTGGGAAGATCACTTGATCTCAGGAGTTCAAGACCAGCCTCGGCAACTAAAAATACAAAAAATACTAATTGTTTTTATTTTTGAAGATTTTATTCATACCACTTACATAATTATTGTAGTGTGTACATATTTATCTATCTCTAACAGAGACAGATATTTCTGGTTTTTTTCTTTCTTTGAGACGAAGTCTCGCTCTGTCACCCAGGCTGGAGCCCAGTGGCGCCATCTCAGCTCACTGCAGCCTGCAAGTCTCCCAGGTTCAAGTGTTTCTCCCACTCTAGCCTCTCAAGTAGCTGGGATAACAGGCACTCACCTCCGCCCAGCTAATTTTTTTTTTTTTTTTTTGGTAGAGACAGGGTTTCACCATGTTGGCCAGGCTGGTCTTGAATTCGTGACCTCAAGTGATCTGCCGGCCTCAGCCTTCCAAATTCCTGGGATTACAGGTGTGAGCTACCCTGCCCAGCTGGGAGATAGATATTTCTCTCTACCCCAAACAGAGGTCCACTCGAGCTACTTTTCATTTTCTTCATAAATATTGGCTAAGTGGTTATGTTGCCCCAGGAATATCAGGCAAAACAGACCGAATTCCTACTGCATGGAGCTCATGTTCCCCGAGTGGAAAACAGATAATAAAGAGATAGATAAATATGTACTAAAATTCTTTTAAAAAATTAGCGGGTGTGGTGGCTTGCACCTGTAATGTCAGCTACTTGGAAGGATCTGGAGGTGGGAGGATCACTTAGGCCCAGGAGTTTGAGGCTGCAGTATGCCATGACTGCACCACTGCACTCCAGACAGCAGCCTGGGTGACAGAGCAAGATCTTTTTGTCAAAAAGAGAAAGAAAGGAAAGAAGGAAGGAGGGAGGGAGGGATAGGGGAGAGGGGAGAGGGAGGGAGGGAAGGAGGGAAAGGAAAGAAAGAAAAGGAAGGAGAGAGGGAGACAGGAAGGGAGAGAGAAAGAGAAAAGAAAGGGAGGGAAAGAGGAAGGAAGGAGGGAGGGAAAAAGACAAGAAAAAGGGAGGGAGGGAGGGAAAGAGGAAGAAAGGAAAGAAGGACAGTTGAAGAGCGGTATTACTATAGGATGGTAATTATAGGGAGGCATGGGGCATTGAGGACAGGAAATGCAAATCAGTCCAAGCAAATGGATTTCTATCGGGAGTGATTCTGCCCCCTAGGAGACATCGGCAATACCAGGAGACATTTTTGTTGTCACAACTGTGTGGAGGGGCATTACTGGCATCTAGTGGGTAGAGGCCAAGGGTGCTGTGAGGCACAGGGCAGGCCTCACAAGAAACCATTATCCAGCTTCAGGAACCCATGGTGCCCATGTTGAGAAGCCCTCATCCAGGGGCTGAGAATGTAGTTTTGCAGAAGGGAGGTATAAGGATGGATTGGTGAAGTCCGAGGGAGGAAGGAGTGTGTCGAGTAAGAGAAATAAGGCATGCACAGGCCAGAGGGGAGAGTGAAAGAGACAGAGAGAGAGGTCAGGAAACACAGGACGAGGGAGACAGACTGGGACGAAAGTAGAGACAGAGATTCGAGATGCAGAGAGGAAGGCTCACAGATCCCGGAAATGACGTGTGGACAAGAGGAATCCGGAAGAGGAAGATTGAGTGGACAGTGACAAATGGGGTCTAAAGGCTGGACTTAGAAGCCAGGCATGGTGGCTCACGCCTGTAATCCCAGCACTCTGGGAGGCCAAGGTGGGTGTATCACTTGAGGCCAGGAGTTTGAGACCAGCCTGGCCAACATGGTGAAACCCTGTCTCTACTAAAAAATACAAAAAATAAGCTGGGAGGCCGAGGTGGGCGAATCACTTGAGGCCAGGAGTTCAAGACCAGCCTGGCCAACATGGTGACACCCCGTCTCTACTAAAAAATACAAAAAATAAGTTGGGTGCGGTGGCTCACACCTGTATTCCCAGCACTTTCGGAGGCCAAGGCAAGCAGATCACCTGAGGCCAGGAGTTGGAGACCAGTCTGGCCAACGTGGTGAAACCCTGTCTCTACTAAAAATACAAAAAAAAATTAGCCAAGCATGGTGGCGTGTGCCTGTAATCCCAGCTACTCGGGAGGCTAAGGCAGAGGAGTTGCTTGAACCAGGGAGGTGGAGGTTGCTGTGAGCCAAGATTACACCATTGCACTCTAGCCTGGGCAACAGAGTGAGACTCTGTTTCAAATAAATAAATAAATAAATAAATTAGCTGGCGTGGTGGTGGGCATATGTAGCCCCAGCTACTCGAGAGGCTCAGGTGGGAGAATTGCTTAAACCCGGGAGGTAGAGGCTGCAATGAGCTGAGATCAGGCCACTGCACTGCAGCCTGGGTAACAGAGCGAGACTCCGTCTCAAAAAAAAAAAAAAAAAAAAGTTGGATTTGGGGTGAAATCTTAATAGCACTCTCCCTGTTGTCTCTTTTTGCCTGCCTCACCATCTCTGTCTTTTTCTGCATCTCTTCATCTCTGCACGTCCCACCTCTGTGTGTCCGTCTCTGTCTCCTTCTCCATCTGTGTGGGTCTCTGGGTCTCTCGTGCCTCCTTCCACCCACCTTGCTGAGTCTCTGCCTCTCTCGTGGCTCCCTTTCCCTCCTGCAGGGCGATTCTGGGGGGCCTGTGGTGTGCAATGGCTCCCTGCAGGGACTCGTGTCCTGGGGAGATTACCCTTGTGCCCAGCCCAACAGACCTGGCGTCTACACCAACCTCTGCAAGTTCAACAAGTGGATCCAGGAGACCATCCAGGCCAACTCCTGAGTCGTTCGAGGACTTAGCACGCCGACATCCCCACCTGCTAAAGGGACAGCCCCGACACCCCTTTCAGACCCTGGTTCCTTCCCAGCGATGGTGGGAATGAATGTTCCTCTCTCCAGCCCCTGACTCCCTGTCTCCTGGACTCAGGGTCCCCTTCCCCTACAATGGGCTGACCCTGTCTCTCTCTGGTCCCATCCCTTCTCTGCAGCAGTGACCTGAATGCAGTCCCAGAAATAAACTGACTGAGAAGTGGACTCTGTGTGTGTCTCCTCCCTGTGCAGGCTGGCTGTGAGCAAGTCGCATGTCCCGCTCCAGGCTGGTATGTTTCGTCTAGGAGGTCACTTTTGGGTTGTGAGGAACAGAGGTCCAGTCAAACTACTTCTCATTTTTTCATAAATATTGGCCAGGTGGATAATTTTTTTTTTTTTTGAGACAGAGTCTCACTTTGTCACCCAGGCTGGAGTTCGGTGGCGCAATCTCGGCTCACTGCAACCTCCACCTCCCAGGTTCAAGCGATTCTCCTGCCTCAGCCTCCCAGTAGCTGGGACTACACACATGCGCCACCAACCCCAGCTAGTTTTTGTATTTTTCGTAGAGACTACCCAAGATACTACCCAAGACTGGGTAATTTATAAAGGAAAGAGGTAACTGACTCATAGTTCAGCATGGCTGAGGAGGCCTCAGGAGACTTACAATCATGGTGGAAGGGGAAGAAAACATGTCCTTCACAGGGCAGCAGAAAGGAGAAGTGCAGAGTGAAGGGGAAAATTGCAAAACCATCAGATCCTGTCAGAACTCACTGCTATCACAAGAATAACACGGGGGGAACCACGCCGATGATCTAATCGCCTCCCACGAGATCCCGCCCCCAACACGTGGGGATTACGATTCAGATTAAAATTCAAGAAGAGATTTGGGTGGGGACACACAGCCAGACCATATCACTTACCAAAAGGATATCCGTGAATTTAAATTGGAAAATGTGAAGGCAGAAACAGCTGCCTGTGTGATCTCTATCCCCTCTCCCCTAGTTATGTGTCTCTCACGGTCTCTTTCTTCTTGTCCCACCTCTGTTTTCTCCTCACATTGACTGCCTGTTGCCCATCAAAGCATCTCCTGTCACCCCTGTAACTGGCTGCAGTTACTGGGTTTTCTTAGTTCATAACCCCTAGAGGGAAAAAATCCAGTTGGCTGTCCTAGGGTCAGACGCAGACTCTGTCTCCAGTCAGAAAGGTGGTCCCAAAAAGTGCAACACAGATCCCCCAGCCACCCCTTCATCCATAGCAGTGGGCAGGGCAGGGCAGGGCCCCTAAGAAGGTTGTGGGCATGGGGGTCACTGAAATAGACATCAATGGACAGACATTTCAGTCTTCAGCGCTTTCTGAGTGACCTGTGTAAGGGTCATTTGTACTTTTTCTGGACCTCAGTTTCTCTGTCTGTAAAATGGGAGGATTAAAACATAATGATCTCCACGTGCCAATCCAGCTCTAAGACTCCTCAAGATACTCAGGGGTAGTTATAGAAAGTCACTCCAGAGAATACCTTGGAAACTGAACATTCCCGAAAAGAAATAACACTAGAAAATTTTTATCAGTAACAAAATGCCCAACTGAAAGTGGATAAAGCAATAATGACGTGCAATATTTCACATAACAAGAAGCCCCAAAAGAGGGCAGTACTGTGGTTTGGTGATTCCTACATTACATCATTAGGGACCTATCTGTCTTCTCTACTGTCCTCTGCACTCATTCATTCATTCATTTATTCAACTAATGAGTGCCTATGAGAGTCAGGTAATGTTACAGACACTTGGGATAGGCTGATTAATAAAACAGACACCAAACCCCTGCCTTCTTTAAGCTTATGTTCTAGCAGGAAGAAGAAAATATGTCAACTTTCTCCTTTAGGCTTGTAATCTCATGGCTTTAAAATGGCTGCCACAGCTCCAGACATCACATCCTCACACACCATGACAAAAGGCAGGAAGGAGAGACTGTTGGCAGAGCTCTTTTCATTGGGAAAGAAAGTCTTTTCCAGAGTCTCCCCACACCCCCAGATCTGTTCTTGGGTCTCAATGACCACTCACTGGAAAAGATCCCAGTGTTGACACTCTAGCATCAACAGAAGCTGGGAAAGTGAGTGTCTGGCATTTCTCTGCCACGGATACAGTCCTTGCCAACAAGAAAGAAGAGATGAGAAGTGGTTGCCTGATAAACAGTCAATGGTGTGAGAGAAGAAAGCATATATCCAAATGATGCAATAATTATCATCATTCTCTTCCACTTTGT